TCAAAGATACACTTTCACAGACACAAACAGTAATGAAAATACAGTAAATTTAATCAAATTTTTATACATTAATAGCACATTTTCTAACAATCCGATATCATTTGTGTAGTCAAACGTGTCGACATATCTATTCTTTCAAATTTTGTAAAAATAAAATATTATGACACCGAGTTTCATATTTACGATACGTGTACAATTTTACGTATTAAATTATTTTTGTTTTTATAAATTTACGTAACTTGGGGTATAATTTAAAATATATTTCTATATTTTGGAATGTGGTTCTAAGAATTTTTATGTATCAATAACCTACCTGCACGAATATAAAAAAAAAATAAGGAGTTAAATTAATAATTAACCCATCAAGATAAATTAAACAGTTTTCTTATATCTTAAAAAAAAAGGGAAACTTCCTTGAAGTAATACTCAGAAATAGTAATGGAAAAGAATTATCGTTTGCAAAACCTGTCAGTGTATAACAGACTTGGTAAACTCACTCAACGATCTCGGTATAAAAAATTCTTATGGAGGCTTCTTTTTCTTGTATATTTTTATGTGTTGACGCCTAACTAACTACAGAAATTATAATCCTTACTTTGTTACTAATATTAAGAATATCAAAGTGGATCTCTCTGGATTGCAAAACTTCTTTTTTTGAGCAAAGATGCATCTGTAACCTCCATTAGGTTTATTGCAATCGTTCTATTTAAATGCTTTATATTCGAACGCCATGGACCCGTGGTCTCTATACTAAATGGTAAGAAATAGTAAGACTCCTTCAGATATATTTACGTAACTTTATAAGTAGACGTTATATACTTATTTTATATTAATCACATTTTACAAAGAATATATGATGAAAAAGAAAAAAATATATTTGTGAGAAAAATAAGGTCTTATTTTCCTAAAGTCTACTAGGTAAATTCATGTAAAGCTATTTTGAAAGTATTTGATTTATAGACGAATATAAAACGAAATAAAATAATCTGCTCTTCTGAGAATTAATATACTCGTAGAATTATCACCGATTTTCTTAAAGTGCCTTTAATCTCTAGAATGAATATTGAATGATCGAATATTGATAAGTTATCTAAAGCGTGTACATGATTATGGAGCGTCGAATGTCAAGAAATGGTCCAAAAAACTATCATTCATTCATTTTTGGCTGACGTGTTAATTTTTATACGAGGTTTGTCGGAAAGTACGTATAAAAGTTTTTTAAAAATTTTATTTTACAATTATTCAGGTAAATCAATTTTATCCCCTTCAAAGTACTCCCCCTGTGACATAATGCACTTGTGCCAACGCCGTTTCCACTGTGAGAAGGCTCCTTGAAATTCCTCTGGTTGTAGGTTTCTCAGCTGCCCCGTCGTAGCTTTTTTTATCTCATTTATGTCCCCCAAATGCCGCCCCCGAAGTACCAATTTGGTTTTTGGGAACAAGAAGAAGTCACACGGGGCCAAATCCGGCGAATAGGGGGGGTGTTCGGTCACCGTAATGGAATTTTTACTCAAAAACTCACGGACAACAAGAGAGGTGTGGGCAGGGGCATTGTCGTGGTGAAGAATCCAACGCCCCTCTCGCGCCAATTCTGGACGAACTCGTGCCACACGAGCTTTGAGGCGTCTGAGCACATCGACGTAGAATTTTCCATCAACTGTCTGGCCTGGAGGGACGAATTCTTGATGGACAATCCCCCGAACATCGAAAAAAACAATCAACATTGTCTCGGCCCTCTCTGAATCTTTTTAGCCACTTGTGGACGGTTGGTTCCTTCACAGCATCATCCCCATAAACTGTTCTGAGATCGGCAAAAATTTCACGGCCATTCTTGCCGAGTTTCGAGAGAAACTTGATTACGACGCGCTGCTCTTCAACGGAAGCGGGCTCCATGCCGACGGGGTTTCGTTAAGAGGTAACTTCACAGATGGCGTGACAAGCCAGTTCGCACCGCACGGCGGTCAGACCAGAACTGAAGCATTGTTAGGGACATAAGGAAGGGGTCCTGCGCTTACCTGGCCTCCCCACTCCTCTTTCTCGCATTCCAGAACACTTTTATACGAACTTTCCGGACAGACCTCGTATATCAAATACCCAATCTCGTATGCAAAAGCTTCAAACTACTCAGCGGGCTATGGAGAGGGCTACGCTCGAAGTTTCTTTGTGTGACAGAATCCAAAACGAGGATATCCACGCAAGAATCAAAGTAACTAACATAGTCCGAAGGATAAGCAGGCTGAAGTAGCAATAGGCTGGTCACATAGGTCGAATGTCAAGAAATGGTCCAAAAAACTATCATTCATTCATTTTTGGCTGACGTGTTAATTTTTATATATCAAATACCCAATCTCGTATGCAAAAGCTTCAAACTACTCAGCGGGCTATGGAGAGGGCTACGCTCGAAGTTTCTTTGTGTGACAGAATCCAAAACGAGGATATCCACGCAAGAATCAAAGTAACTAACATAGTCCGAAGGATAAGCAGGCTGAAGTAGCAATAGGCTGGTCACATAGCTCGAAGAACCAACAACCGTTGGGGAAGAAAGGTACTTGAGTGACAACCCCGTACGGGCAAACGCAGTGTAAGACAACCCTCTACTATATGGAGTGACAACCTCAAATGCATTGCAGAGTCAATGGATGCAGGTAGCTCAGGACCGTTCCTAATGGCAGTCTATGGGGGAGGCCTATCTCTGAAGATGAAATAATGATGATGATAACGACTCAACCTCGGGGCAGAGGGGGAGGAGATTGTTAGCAATGCCGACTACCTGTCTTATTGCTAGTAATATAGCTTATCAGACGACAACCTATTGTCTCCCCTGGAAACCATCGTGTTGAATTTCAGATGTATTTTTATTTCCACCTATCATCCTTCATCAGTTCTCCATCAGCGTATACGAGTATCATTCTATTATCGTCCATTAAAAAAAAGTGGGTACTCAATCTCATGTGAAGGTTAACCACAACATGGTTATTAAGTTCACATTATATTTTAACTATATGACTAATTGTATTGACTTACATGCATTTTAGTCGAGAATACTCGACTTGTTTCGGGACTGTCTGGGACCCTTAATCAAAAGCGGCCGTGATGCTACGCGAGCATCACTTAGTCTTACTGTTAAAATATAGTAATTACAAAACATTAATATGATGACTTGTGTGATAAAAATGACAAATTATAAAACTATTTAATTTTGAAGTGTGGGATATTGTGATGGTACAGAGCCGGATGTTATAACACTTTAGGCCTCAAGAATGAGGGTACCATGCGCGATATAGAATATTCTATGATATAGGTATACGGTGTAGCCTGTATCTAAAGGTAACAGTTACTGCTTTCCAGCAGGTAGATTGTTAGCTTCTTCGCCGTTCAAAGTTAAAAAATACAAAAATATTCAATTACAAAAATGCATTATTTAAACAAAAAGTTGGACTGATTTTGTCCAAGCGTTTGTAGGGAGATACTATATTATTATTTTTTCGAAATATTTCCACAAAAAAAATAATGCAGCGTAATCTTTAAAATCTATGTCAAAATATAAACCTGTTACTGACATTGTTGTATTATCTTTAAGCGGGTAATATGGAAATATTAATTATCGGATATTAGGAGAAGCTATATCTTAGTTTCTAGTAAATGAGATTCCCATGGGCGAAGATTAATGACGCTACTATCAACGTTTACTCAGCTATTAAGAGCAGAAATAATTTTATGTTGGCATTCTGAGGAAATATTAAATTGAGCTAGTATTTATACGACAATTTTATAGTTGCATTAAATGCCTAATATTTTGCTTTACAATTAATGAATATTAATAAAATTGCGATAATGATGTTAAGAAGTTAGAATTTAAAAAAAAATATATTATCATCATTTCAACCATTAAATGATCACTATTGAATATTATTGTGACCTTAACCATACTATAAGGAATGATTTTGATTCACTTAAATCAGTTAATTTAAAGTATATTGAAGGATTTGCAAATGTAAGTAACAATTGAAAGTCCATTTAGTTAGAAGAGTCGGCTGCCGACAGAGAAGAATGTTTCTTGACTGATTTACAGGCGAAGTGAGGTACAAGCATCTCCTTTATGTTGCAATGATTTTAAATATATTGCAGGGAAATAATAGTAGCAGGTAACTTAGAACCGTTCTTTATAGCAGTCCATAAACTAGATATATATTCGGTAGTTACAAATGCATCAACAAACCAAACCAATTTGTTTCTAAAGAGGCACGCTTTCAGGATGGCATAAACTTTAATTGGTAAGTTTTATCACAGAAATTGTTATGAATTTATTCATATTTATGATATTTGAAATGTTACACTTTTAGATTTTCGCATAGTATTAGAAAACAACCAAATATTTGTTGTGCGTTTTTGGAATGTTTTTGTAACTTAATATATCATACAGAGACATTTTCTAGGTCAATGAAACATCGTAATGAGTATATAAGGTTATTTTTCAAGTCAAGTCAGGTCAAGTTACATAAAGTCATTTTTCAACTACGAAAATTAATGAAAAACTTACTCTAACTGCTAAAAGAATGCTGTGCTAAGCAGCTGAATTTCGTGATGCAATAAAAGAACGTTCTACTAGAACTAAAGTTTCTGAGACAAGATATTTCTTGTGGACGTAAAGTTCTTGAGATACTTGAACTGTGCAGCTGTTACGTTGTTCTAACTACTAAAAATATTATACAAGTAATTTTGTGACATGACAAATCAAGTACGGAAATGGTAATGCCTTGGCCCATTATTGTAACCTCATTATTCGGGGTTTATGTATGTTATTTACTTAAACACTTCTTTTCTTATTTTCAAGCTGGTTGTTACAAACTCCTTTGTAATTTGTAATTTCTAATATTGTATTCTTTTAATTATTCATTTTTTTATAAACTGTCAGTATAACTTTTCAACACGAACCCGCGTTTTCTTTATTATAATCAGTTCACAATATTATTGGTCCTTCTACCGTTTAAGTGTTGGAAATGGTACTCACACGTTCCCAAAAAGGCAGGCCGTCGAATAAATACGATAATACCATGGATCACAGCAAGAGTGGACAGTCAAACCCTACGTATGGAGATCAAGGGACGTCGGAGGCCCAATGTGCGTCCACCAGTCAAATGGATGCGCCTCCGGAGGGAGTTCACGTGGAGCCCCCACCCAGGTCTCGGGGTGACAGTCACACCGCATCGAGAAGATCCACAGGGAGTATGGTAAAGGCTAGGCTTTTAGCAGCCGAGGCAGAGCACGCTCGCCGGCTCGCTGAGTTAGAACGTAAAGTTGCGGATGCTGAGCTACGCGCACAGCTCGCCGCTATAGAGGCTGAGAGTAGCGTACATGCAAACTCGTATGCAAGCTCGTGTATGAGTAGCAAACAGGTTGAAACGTGGTTGAATAATAACCCGGGTGATGGCCCGTTAGCAGAGGAGCCGATCGATCGGCAAACCGGCATTAGTGCCCCAGAGGTCCCTGCGTCACACTCTTTAGGGTTACCATTTCATCCTACTACTTCTCACAACTCTGTCAGTGATCCCCAGGGACAAAAGTACACGGGGAGTTTTGACGCACAATTCATAGGTAAGGCTATAAGTGATTTAGGTGCAGTCTTAACAAGTAATAAATCGAATAACTGTCATACCAAGTTGCCGTTATTTGATGGCAGTTGTGCTACTGAGTGGCTTAGCTTCAAACGTACATTTGTAGACACGGAAAAATTCTATTCAGCAGGTGAGAATCTCGCACGCCTAAACGGTGCGTTGCGTGGAGCCGCGCGGGAGGCTGTTCACGTCCTATTGGTATCGGCGCGTGACCCACAGCAGGTCATCAGTGCACTCGAAACCCGATTTGGATGTCCCGAGATGATTATGCTACAAGAATTAAATTCCGTCCGAGCCCTACCGAAAGTTAGTAGCGAAGGAAAGGATTTAGGTATTTTTGCGTGTCGAGTGAAAAACTGCATTGAAATAATGCGATTATTAAATCAGGCAGATTATTTAGGTTCACCTGAACTTTTCAACGTATTAGTTAGCAAACTGACTCCACTTTTACGTATGCGTTGGTTAGATTATGCAGCTAGTCATACTGAGGGAGGTAGTAAACTCGAGGTATTATCTGAGTTTCTTGTACGGGAGATACATTTACAAAATAAATTTGGAATAATTTCAGACACATATTTACATCCGTCGACCTCTCATACTACTCGTAATACATCAAATCACACACATAAACAGGGTAAGTATCAAGTTAATTGCAATACGGGAAGCGTGAGTTCAGGTTCATCTAAAAAACCTAATAAATCAAATGTAAATAAATCTGCAAACATGTCATGTATATTTTGTAAACAAACAGAACATGACATTGTCGTATGTGACAAATTTTTATCTTTATCTATAGATGACAGATGGAAATGGGTAAAGGCTAATAAGGTTTGTTATCGTTGTTTACGAAAAAATTCGCATAGATTTAAATTATGTAAAAATAAATCTACGTGTGGTAAGGATGGTTGTTTATTCAAACATCACTTTCTTTTACACAACAATAGCGTAGAACTTAACCTCGTTGCACATGCAGATGTAGATATTGTAGATTCTGATTCTTCTACATCACAAAGCGACAAGAATCAGATAGTAAATACTCGCAGAACTGAAGAATGTGCTGTCGAAGTTTCAGCTCATGCTACCACCACTTTTCTGAACACACTTTCTCGCTCTTTACTAAAAATAATTGCTGTCAGAGTGTCTGGTCCCAGTGGTACTGTCAACACATATGCACTATTAGATGACGGCTGTACTACAACACTGATTGACGCGAAAATTTCGAAACATATTGGTGCTGTAGGTCCCAAAGGTCGTGTGCATATTGACTGCTTAGGTGGACTTTCGAAAGTGAGTGATTTTTGTTTAGTTACTTTTACTATCCGAGGTTTACACAACGAAGATTCCTTTCAAATTCACGGTGCTCGTTCCGTTGATAATTTAGGTGTAGCTTATCAATACGGTATTCAAGCTGACGATTTGAAAAATATCCTCATCTTTTCGAGATTGCCGATGAGCTTTGTTACGAAAACGCGCAACCTACAATCGTGATAGGGATTGATAACTGTCACTTGACAGTACCTAAATTAATACGAGCGGGTACTGCTACTGAACCGATGGCTATTAAGACTGCTTTAGGCTGGGTTGTTTGCGGACCTATTAGTAAAAGTAAAATAGGAAGTGGTCGTGATATAATAAATCACGCTACAGTTTTTGATGATTGTCAATCCGATAACATTCAAAATTTTGAAGAAATAATTAAAGAACATTATAGATTGGATTCATTTGTTAAAAAAGAATATCGCGATAGGTCGGACGCACATGCACTCAAAATTTTGGAAAGCACAGTGCGACGATTGCCTGATGGACATTTTGAAGCTGGTCTTTTGTGGCGTCCTGATATTAGTGTCGTGCCAAATAATTATAGATTAGCACTTTCACGTTTTCTTAGCCTAGAAAAGAAGATGAAAAGTGATAATCAATACGCGCAGTTATATCGTCTGAATGTACATGCTATGATAGACAAGGGCTACGTTGAGGAATGTCACAAGTCACCAATAGGTATTTCCTGGTATCTCCCGCATTTTGGGGTGACACATCCGCATAAATCAGGAAAATTACGCATTGTTCATGATGCTGCCGCTAAATTCCAAGGGGTCAGCTTAAATTCTTTATTATTACCCGGTCCTGATCTCTTACAGCCCCTTCTTGGTATACTCATGAGATTTAGGGAAGGCCCTATTGCTTTAACAGCCGATATTCGAGAGATGTTTCCGCAGGTTAAGATAAGGGAGCAGGACCGAGACGCTCAAAGATTTTTATGGCGCGATTATCACACGCAGGAAATTAAAATATATCGCATGTCTTCAATGATGTTCGGCGCTTGTTCGAGTCCATGTACCGCGTTGTATGTTAAAAAAGTGAATGCTGATGAATTCCCGGAAGCAGCACATGCCTCTGTATTTGATACATACATGGATGACTATATAGGATCGCAGGACAACATTGAGAAAGCAGCTCGTTTAGCTGCAGATATTGTAGAGCTGAATAAGCGAGCTGGTTTTGAGATGCGCGGTTGGGCATCCAACAATCCTGATGCCCTAGCACTTTTATCAAAAGACTTGGTTTCTACTTGTATCAAAAGTAGAAACGAGTCCATAGATTTAGGTAATTCGAACAACGACGTAAATGTTCGGACTCTAGGTCTTATTTGGCAGCCTAATATTGATACAATTTCGTTTAGTATTGGGTTCGAAAATGATAAATTGCCACATCAGATTACTAAACGTGATGCGCTTTCTTATGTAATGCGTATTTATGATCATCTTGGTATTTTAGGACCTATAGTTTCCAGAGGGCGTATCATGTTTCAGAATATATGGCGTAAACGCCTCACATGGGACGACGAGTTACCTCAAACCGACCTGAAGATTTGGCATGATTGGTTTCAGGATCTAAAATTGGTATCTAATCTCAAGATATCACGCTATTACGGTTTGAGTGAACCCGATGTATCCAAACGCGAGCTTCACATCTTCTGTGATGCTAGCGAAATGGCTTATGCAGCAGTTGCATATTGGCGGATGATTTTTACAAACGGAGATGTGAAGGTCGTTCTCATTTCCAGTAAGTGTAGAGTAGTCCCATTAAAGCCGACCTCCATCCCCCGTTTAGAACTCCAGGGAGCGTTAGTCGCTGCTCGTCTAGCGTCATTCATAGTCGAATCTCATAACCATAAACCAACAAAACGATTCTTTTGGACTGATTCGTTAAACGTGCTAGGGTGGCTCCGGAGTGATGCGCGTACCTATAAGCCATTTGTAGCTCATCGTTTGGGTGAGATACTCGAACTCACACTAGTCAATGAATGGCGATGGGTTCCAACGCATAGTAACGTGGCTGATGATGCTACGCGTGTTAATCGTATTATTTTAACACAGTCGTCTCGTTGGCTTGTAGGTCCCAATTTTCTGTATGACAGTGAGTCTAGTTGGCCATCATCTCCACCAGTATCTATGGCTGGTAGCTTGGACAAAAATGACGTAGAACTTAAACCGTCTACTCGTCATCACTCATGTTTTGTTAATCTCATTACGTCACAGCCATCTCCCATGCCTCTTGTAGTTAGCTCTGACAGACTAAGCTCCTGGTTGAGATTGTTAAGAGCAACGGCAAGAGCTCATAAACTCATTACCTTGCTGCGTCGGAAAGGCACTTCTGATATTACGGCTGAAGATTTGTCTGTTGCTGAAACACATTTACTGCAACATAGCCAGTTAGAAACGTTTACGGAAGAACTTGTACTCTTGAAAAATGGTCAACCTCTACCACGGAAGAGCAAATTGTTCACGCTTTCGCCGGTTATCGATGAACAGCGAGTCATCCGTTTAAAAGGCAGGATTGATCGTGCAATAGACGTCGAAGATCACGTGAAGCGCCCTATTATCTTGGATGCTCGTCATCGAACTGTGCGTCTACTTATTGCCTATTATCACGAAAAGGCAGCTCATGGCAATACAGAGTTGGTAGTAAATGAACTCAGACAGTTTTATTGGATCATTCACCTTCGAAGCGCTGTTCGATCTGTTGCTTACAATTGCAGAGTCTGCAAGATAAGACGTGCTACACCGTATCAGCCTCCTATGGGAGACTTACCCGCTGCCCGTGTAGCTCATCACAAGAGACCCGTCAGTTTTACTGGTCTTGACTATTTTGGACCTCTTCAAGTTGCTGTTGGCCGACGTCGTGAAAAGCGGTATGTCGCTCTTTTTACATGTTTGGTGACTAGAGCAGTTCACCTAGAATTGGTACATAGTTTGAGTATCGATGCCTCTATTATGAGTTTACGCAGATTTATTGGTAGACGTGGGGTTCCTACAGAAATCTGGTCGGACAATGGGACGGCATTCGTCGGTGCCAATCATTTATTGAAGTCTTTGTATGGAGCTGAAATGGAACTGTTTGCTGCAAATGAGTGTATTTCTTGGAAATTCATTCCACCATCTGCTCCTTTTATGGGCGGTTCATGGGAGAGATTAGTGAGATCAGTGAAAAACGCCATGCAAGTCACTTTGAAAGAGCGTACACCCAGTGACGAGATTTTGTTAACTCTTCTTATAGAGGCAGAAGCGCTCATAAATTCCAGACCTCTCACTCACGTGCCCTCTGACCCTGATCAGAGTGAAGCTTTGACTCCTTTCCATTTTATACTTGGAACTTCGTCAGGAAAACCAATACCTGCACGTATAGAAGACCGAGACCTCTGTAGTAGAGCAGGATGGCAAAGGGCCCTACGCCTCGCAGATCATTTCTGGTCCAGGTGGGTTAAAGAATATCTGCCAACACTATTGCCTAGACGAGGGCAGGGTATTGCGCCAAGAGTGAATGTGGGGGACCTGGTGCTAGTTGTAGATGATCAACAACCGCGTGGAACGTGGCTAAGAGGTGTAATCACTGCAATTTATCGAGGACAAGATAGCATTGCTCGAATAGCCGAAGTACGGACGCCTATCGGCTTATTTAGACGCCCAATGAGGAAGTTGGTGCCCCTGCCTACGTAAAAAAGGGGAGTGTTACAAACTCCTTTGTAATTTGTAATTTCTAATATTGTATTCTTTTAATTATTCATTTTTTTATAAACTGTCAGTATAACTTTTCAACACGAACCCGCGTTTTCTTTATTATAATCAGTTCACAATACTGGTATTTACTAATATTATGTAACTATTCATTACAGACATTTACTTTGCGTTTATTGATTAATTTTCATTAAGTACCTACCTCATAATTAGTATTCTTTCAAGAATGTTAGTGAAAAAGATTTTTTTACTAAAAAAAAGCACATACAGCAAAAAATTTGTATGGAAGATTTTTTTTTTAATATTTTACTGAAATAGATGTCGTGGAAGTCCAACAAAAATTTCAAGTCAGAAGTATAGTTGGAAGGTTACAAAATTTCTGGTAGTAATGATGGTGGTAAATTTTTGAATGTTGACCGTCATATGTACAATTCTTTTGTTTAATTCTGTTATTAATGATAACAGAATTAAACAAAAGAATTCTAATCAGACAATCAGCTAATCTTTTTCGTTATTTTTCGACGTATATGTAACTCTTTGTATATTTTACATTACACATTGTACAAACTGTGCGAGGATTTTACAAAATAAAAAAATGCACATATTGTAAAATAATGTACAAAATAATTTAGTACATTAGAGTCAATCATAAAATAGTATGCAACATATGCAAATAGTTACGTAATGTCACCATTTATAATCTCTCCAATTAACGTGAAGCGCTCATTCGTCACGTAAATAACCCATTACAAGTCAAAACTCGTCGACGTGCATGTGTCTGTAATTTGAACGGATTAAATCTCTCATTTTGTGACGCTACAGAGATAATTGCAATAAAAACTCAGCGCCGTGTACGTGCCGCCGGCAAAATCCGGTTGAATACTAGGTAAGTTTAATCCATTCATTAGTGTAAATCTAGCATAGCTTGAGCATCCTCCATTTGCTAATTACGTAATATAAAGCTGGTATTTAATTATTACAGTCTCTTTCAACTAGAGAAAATGAAAACAAAACGAATAAATGACTCGGATATAAACAGTCAGTAGATGTCCAATAATATTACAAATCTAAAATCGATTCACTGATTTAATGTTTCAATTTGTTACTGATTTCGTTTAGAGAGTATTTCTATAATAATATAAACAAAACTTGGTTACCTTTATCCTTTTTTTTATTTTATTTTTCGCTTTGAAATGTACAAGAAAGGAGCATATTTCTCCTCAAAAGGCCGGCGACGCAACTGTAATTTCTCTGCGGGTGTTAATGGGTGGTGTAATCTCATATGATCAGGTGAGCAGCATGCTCGTTTGGCCCCTATCTTACAGAACATATATTCCAAACAGATAGATGATTTATGTAAACGAGTTCTGAAGTGGAGACTGCATTTATACAGGCATAATGTGGGTCGTGTATAAACTATATGCCGCGACGATCTGGCAGAATATCTGCAGTTGGATAAGTAAATTAAAATTTTACAAAGTAGCAGACTTAAGGAGAGACTTACATCCAGCTGTGAACTGCTGTAATATGTATTATTTATCTATTCAGTATCACATTTCTGACAGAGATTAAATAAAATATGAAACTAATATGCTTACGACTGTTATCCCTAATGGGGTAAACAGATAGATTTGTCGACTATAATGGATTACTCAATATGTCCATATTTCGCCGAGAATATTAAAATCTAAAGCAGAAGAGAGTGATCGCCGCCTCATATCCGCCTATCATCTCAACCATTATCTCTTTAATGCTGAACATAAACCTCCCCATAGACTGCCATAAGGAATAGTCCTAAACCACCTGAATCTATTTACTTGCTACTATTGCAATGCATTTGAATTCGTCACTCGACCATTGGTTATCGATTCTTCGAATTATGTGACCAGCCTATTGCTACTTGAACTTACTTATCCTTCAGGCTACTTTGCTTTACAGAATTTCTTGATTGGTACTAAAGTTTTCATAGTTGTGTATCACTAATATTGTTAAAATATTCATTATCCAATTGGCAAGATGTATATTCGACCAGAAAACACAGCTTAAATACATCCAGGTCTATATAAAAAACTCTTGATACCGAAGTGAAATAAAGCATAGAAGAGTCATAATATATTTCAAACATTATTATCATTTATTTTGAATGCGTTCAAAGTAATTTATAATATTACAATTCAATTATATTCCAAATTGAACGGCAAAGAATTAAAAAAACTATAAAATTACCTTAAATAAAGAATGCTAAATATTTTTAATAAAATTTACTAAACATTTCTACAAAATTCACATATTAGTTGTATCAGTAAAATAAAATAAAAAGTTACTGCTGAAAAATTTCTTTATTAGAATAAAAATCTAAATTAGATTCAGTTATTTTTACATCACTAAGTTCATCGGCAGTTGAATACAAATTGCTTGTTATCTTACTCGATCTCAAATACATTACCATCTAGAACGAGTTTAAGAAAAAAAAAAAAAAACAATTGAATGCCATAAGAAAACTCCGTAATTATGTTAACGTTGGTTTCCGGGAAGAAAAGTTATAATGTCTACCCGATAACTCAATTTGCTCTCCCCTAATTCCAAAGCTGAGTACTGAACTTTTCAATCTGGCCACCCTTGAAGACCCGGTGTCGGTCTGCTGAACCAATAAAATGACATCTCAGCCATCGATATACGAAAAACTCAAGATATACAAACGATGAATATAAAGTGGTCAGTGCTTTGTTGTTCAGCTCGTATACTTAGGTTGAATTCGAAACTGCATATTTTTGTTAAATAAAAACGATTCAGAATATGACAAAAAATTTTGAAACGACCATACGAATATATCTATCAGTCGAGTTACTATGGGATTTGTATTTAATTTGCGAATAAATTTAGATTCATTATAGAATAGTCTCTTAAAGAGATATCTACATATAAAAATTAGACTCCACTAATTCACAGTAAACACTTAACTATTTGTTTTTCTAAATTTAATTAGTTGCAATTTTAAGTCCAACTTTTGTAAATAATGTAAATCTTGGACTTCTTTTACATCTACGTATTCCACTTTAATATTTTCCCGTCACGTTCATGCTGCGCCGCTAATCTTCTAAGTGATGACTTTTGAATAAGTTTATCAGAATTCTGCTATGAAGTTTATTGAAAGCAGTGAATAAATAGAGCACTCCAAAGTTGAATTTTCTGTTTGTTTTATATCTTCTGCGATTTCGAATTAAAATTGATTTTCATTTATTTATAGTACTTCGTTTTCGTACTACTTCGCTTTTTAAAATAAATAGAATTTAACCAACTAAGAATGGTAAATAAGGTGATGACACTCCTTATGAAAAGTGGCACCCACTGTGTCACATGATCAATTCTACTGCCATATCCCACATGTCAAGTCTAAATATAGCAATGCAAGGATGGTTATTTCAAGAAACAAGTGAGACAGATGTGTTTAAGCAGACGACTCTTGTATAAAGTTTTTTTTTGTACCACTATGGTGGCAAACAAGTATATCTCTCTAATAATAAACGGTCACTGTAGCCTATGGACGCTTGCTACGTTAAGAGTGTCACGTGCGCATTGCCGACCCTGAAGAAACCTTTCAATAGTACTATAATATAATAACGAAATAAATTCTTGGAATCATAACTTGCTGTATAAACTTAAACTCGGTTCTAATTTGTAAACTTTCTATTCTATACAGGATTATTCAAAGAAGGTACACCAAGTCGAAACCCGTTTATATTATTCATAGAACCGAACGATTTTCCCTAAGGAGCATAGTTGAAATCTGAAAATATATTTTAATCTGTCTATACAAATCCGCGGTCACGAGCTCCATTTAGTATGAACGTTTAACATAATTATCCCTATTTAGCGTTTAATTCGGTTGTAATTAATATTTATTTTGGCTGCCACTTTTTATGCGTGGATTTTAGATGAAGAAAAATAATTAATTAATTTTAGATAGCGTATCAAGATAAAACATACAAAGATTATTTTTTTTAATAAAGTTTATTGTATGATTATATCTGAAACAAAAATCAGATTATAAAACAATAACAAAGTATTAAATCAGATTTTTGCGAATATTACTGCGAAAATTTCTAATTTGATGGAGCTTTTGCGTAAAGTCAGAACAATATATATGTTACAGATGAAGAAAAACTCTAAATAAAGTTGTTTCAACTTCTATTGCTTAAATGATTAAAATGATTTTTCACAAATATCTCTGTACAGTCACTATATATACAAATATCTCCTCAATACATAATCTATATATTACTAGCTGACCCCGTAAACGTTGTTTTACCACTTATTGCGAAATATAAAAATCGCGATTACAAGACATGGGTTGATCGTAAAACGATGAAAATTTAAAGTTGTGTGTATTTTTAATGCTAAACTATAATAAAATAAAAATGGAAAAATTTGTTAAATAATAAAAAAAAATTTGGGGAGGGTCACCCTTATCATTGAGGGATATGAAAAATAGATGTTGGCCGATTCTCAGATCTACCCAATATGCAAACAAAATTTCATAAAAATCGGTAAAGCCGTTTCGGAGGAGTTTGGTAACAAACACTGTGACACGAGAATTTTATATATGTATAAGATTATTATTATTTATTATTATATGTACATTTATAATCTAATACATTGACAGCTAAATGCAATATTGATTAGATAATGTACAGTGATGGCCTAGCTGCAGCAGGTATACTGACCGTGAAACTGTTAAATGCACCTGCCTTGGTACTTCTGAACTAGGCAGCAGTAGATATACGATTCTATACTATTGTATCTAGGTTCAAAATAGACTGAATCCTGCATATGCAGGTCGCGCGACTCGCTGGGCACAGAAATGTTAAGGTCACAATTCTCTCGGAAAATTACCCTACTCTAAAACTATCTGTAGTGTAGTTATTTCTATTTGTGAATGTACGATCTTTTTAAGCGAGTTCTAAGAATATGGAGTTCATAGA